TAGCTAGTGTAATGTTCCTTGGGAGAAGGCGGCTCAAAGGGCTGACCAGACTGGTAAGAGGGTGACCTCTGTCACAGGGCAGATTGTGGACTCCTCAGAAGTTGTGATGGAGAGAGAGATGGTGTCCGAGCTGGTATCCATTCTGAATAACGTGTCCCATCATCTCAGAAAGCTTGACCATTTAAGGAGCACCTTCAACCACAGATCATCTTCCTGAGAAGCAGGACTGAGCTCTTCAGATGCTCCTCTGATCTGTACCACCTGCACTGAATGCATTATGCAGTTGTGGTTTGCTTGCTTGCTTGTTTGTTTGATTGATTTCTTTGGAGGGAGAGTATTGTTCTGGGATATACCTTTATAATGTTTCTGCACTACAACACCTGGAGTATGGATGAAGTTCCATCACATCTGCCCATCAAAAGCGCCATATGTAGCTAGGGTGCATATGCCATTCCTGTTTGTACATTTATGACCTCTGCACTTTCATTCTAACACATTTACCGTACCTGTGTGCTCTTATCCTGTAAGTTACTCTGGACAGAAGGCATCTGCTGAATTAATAAGTAGAAGTGTTCCATTTTTCTGGATGTCATCCAAGGAAGATCTACAATAGTTACCTCATATAACAAAACCAAGCTTCTTGGTTTATTGACTGTACTTGTGCCAAACACCTGAAGAGGTGTTTATGAGATTTTGTTTTATTGTAGTTATTTGTTCATTCATGAAACAAAGTTTGAGAAAAAATAGTCCTTAACGATTTGTCCTGAGCACGGTGTCATGTTCGCCATTGGCATTCAAGAACAATTAGTATCTACCAGCACATCACTTGGAAGATCTGCAAGTATATTTAGGCAACTTGTGGAATTATACTTATCCATCAGGATTCTTGCATTGAATTTCTTGGATCCAGACAAAAAAAAATATCCAAGAGATTGTAGCTAGGGCAGTTTGGGATAGACACTGGGCAGAAAATATGAGTGGCTTCAAAAGAAAAAAACGATACATCAGTTTTTCACTGTGCTGCAGGACTCAAATGACAAGACCAGCAACGATCCATATTCCAATGAGGAAGGAAATCTGCGTAATTGGTTTAACACATTTCTTCCTTTCCATTTTTCACTCCTGGCCAAAAGATTTATAAAGTCTCCAATTGCATTTCAGTCTCTTTTACAATAACATAATCTACTTTTTTAGCAATAAATACTTTCTGGTTAAAAGTGAGTGAGTGAATGAGTGAGTGAGTAAGTGAGCGAGAGAGTGAGTGAATGAGTGAGTGAGTGAATGAATGAGCGAGTGAGTGAGTCAGTGAGTGGTGTGGTAGCATATTGAAGCAGAGAATAGTCCAAGATGCTACAATGCATCTGAGGTTGCAGATAAATGTTGCTAATGTCTGATTACCAGTTCTGAGATAGATTACTCTGAGATACCGCTGAAAAGATAATGTTAACAGATTGTCAGTAGTTTGATGTTGGCCATCAAATATCTATGAGCGGCTGAGCATGTAGCCTTTAGCATTTAGCTTCAAACCCTCAGCTCTTTGGTTTTATCCATCATGAGAATGGTTAAAAAAAAGAAAACAAAAATGTCAACATTTTCCCATGACCTTTCTCAGCAGCATGGCAGTTGATGGCAGCAACCCCTGCACATTACATACTCACTCAGTGACAAACAATGAACAGTGCGGTCATGATGTATCCTATCTGGGTTATCTAGGTGATAAGTCACGTTGCTGCTGGAATAGCATTTATTTTTGGAGAAATGCATATTTACCTGGGGTCTGTTCTTTGAGTTCCTCAGAGGAAACCCAGTATCCGTCCGATCCTTTAAGAGTGGAAACAGATTATTTAAGAAGCTGATTAGCTTTGTAACATGCAACCAAACAACAGTGACCTTGTGCACCTCAGGCGAGAGTCTTAGAGGCCAGAGGCCAGAAGTCCCCTGGGAATTTAGCACAAAGGTGGCTCTGCACAAAGAATCCCAGTAGTGTAGAACAGCGGGAATTACAGGGATGCTGGAACAGGAACCCTTATTAATAAATAGAACCTCTCGGCTAGACACCTCTATACCCAACTTCAAAAAGCATCAATTGCAGCATGCAAGCCAATGGAAGCTACATGGTTCTGCATACGCATGTAAAACGTCTATTTTTAGCCCACTTCCTCAGTGCCCCAGTGCAATGGCTGGAGCTGAGCTGGCTCAGTCAGAGCCTTGTCTCACAGCCCGAGTTTCATGCCTGAGCGGATGTGGCCAAAGAGATTTTACATTTTACACTCGTACTTGTGTGTGTTACACCCGTGTAGCCTGGGCCGCAGTTAAGAGGAGACGCTCTGCTCTGGGTGCGGTGTGGCTGCTGCACTCTGACTTTGTGCCTTCAGTCTGTCACGCGGCTGTATGTTTATATGTTCACAAGCCTGCCTTTCCAGCCTCCTTGGCTCTTTGTCTTTTACATTCGTGCCCAGGTTTGTTTACTGTGGTTTCGCCCCCTATCTGCACTTAACTTTTTCCTGCACGCCCAGTTTCGGAAGCTCCCGTCCATTTAGTGGCACAAGTCCCAGCGGTTACACACTTCCTCCAGCATCCTGGCTGATGGAGCAGGAATCGTCGGGCAGAAAATCAGGCAGTACAGATGGGGATGGTTTAGTTTAGGGTGTTTGTATTTGTGTCTTACTTGATCTTATGATTAAACCTGTTTCAATGAGTCATGTTCCCATTATGATTGGTGTTTGTTTAGCAGTGAGCGACTCCACCCCGGGTTTTCACTTGCGGTTCCCAGGATGTGATGCATCTTTTATGACAGAATATTCAGTTTGGGACAAAGATACCTGGTCTTGAATAAAGACGATAATATATAGTATATTACTCTGTTTATTCAGATCCACATTGCATTTCAAAAAGACTAGATGTACAGTATATGTTTTATTTCATCATACACTGTAATGTGGTTCCATAAGTGAAAACAGAGATGTATTGTATTTATTGTTAACAGATTTCAGTACTAGAAGCAGCGGTATACCTGAGTAAATCTGAAATAGTACTGGACTTCCAGCCTGAAATGAAAAACATGCCAGAATGAGGAGTGATACCAAGTATGTGTTTACTTGAATCAAAATTTTGAATCTGCTTTGCTTCATGACTTCAAAGACAAGTGAACCAAAATACGAGAAGTGACACGAATAACTGAGAAAGCCCAGGATCTGGAGCTGGACGCTGCTGCTTAGCATGGATATGACTGGCAGGAATTAGATTTCCACCTGACCTCCTGTGTCTTGGAGCGCTTGTTTGTTATTGTTCCCCAGGGAAACACATCCCACATCCCGCATTGGGTCCCAGCAGCAGAGAAAGCGGTCAGCAGATCCACATTTCCTCCTTGTTTTATGGTTATAATTGTTTCCTGCCTGTTTGGAGACTAAATGTACTCAAGCAATGGTGTCCTGCACTGCTTATGTTATTTGCAGAATTCCAAACCGATTTAGCAGTCAGTTAATTTCATTCTCCCCTCCATGAATCAACATCTTACCATAGTGGAGGGATCTGTGTGTCCCAGAGATCCTAGGAGCTATATTTTTTGGGGGCAATTGTATCTAGTTGGGGTCTCTTATGGCAAATCCTGTGGTGCTAGATGAGGAGCTATTCAAATACCCCTTATGGAAAATATCAACAAAGAATCAGGAACAGTGATACTGGAGCCTGGCCTGGGTGGGAGGTTGTGGGCGAGTGCCTGGTGTTCGGGCCTGCTGCTATGGGCCATTGGGTCCCTGTACAACTGGAGCAAGAGCTTGGATCCCATTGCTGGCAGTAATTGTGACTCATCCCCGGTGGGTGTTGGACTCTGCCAGGGCTGCCCTTTGTCAATGATTTTGCTCATAACTTTTATAGACAGAGTTTCATTGTGCATCCAAGGAGTGGAGGGGATCCAATTCAGTGACCTCAGGATCACGTGGTTGCTTTATGCAAATGATGTGGACCTGTTGGCTTCATCAGGCTGTGATTCCCAGCATGCACTGGGGTGGTTTGTATCCAAATGTGAAGCGGATGGGGATGAGGATCAGTACATCAAAGTCTGAGGCCTTGGTTCTCAACCAGAAAAGGGTGGACTGCCCATTCCAGGTTAGAGATGAGTTTCTGCTATCAACTACAAGAGTTTGTGCATTTTGGGGTCTTGTTTACGATTAAGGGAAGAAGAGCTGGATATTGACAAGTGGATCGGAGCAACGTCAACATTTACGCAGACATTCACTGGTCAGCCATCGTGTAGTGAAAACTGTACTGAAAGGCGAAACTATCAATTTACCAGTCGGCCTATGTTTCTACCTTCACCTATGGTCACGAGCTCTGGGTTGTGACCTTAAGATTAAGATTGTGGATACTTGCAGCAAAAATGAGCTTCCCTCACAGGGTGTCTCGGCTTGGCCTTAGAGATAGAGGGAGGAGCTTGGACATTCGGGAGGAGCTCAAAGTAGAGCTGCCGCTCCTCGACATCGAAAGGAGCCAGCAGAGGTGGTGTGGGCATCTGTCTAGGACGCCTCCTGGACACCTCCCTGGGGAGGTGCTTTGGGCATGTCCAACCAGGAGGAGACCCCTGGGCAGACCCAGGACATGTAGGAGAGATTAAATCTCTGAGCACCTGGGCGTCCCTGCAGAGAAGCTGGAGGAGGTGTCTGGAGAGAGGGAGGTCTGGGTATCTCTGTGCCCCGGACAAATGGAGGAAAATGGATGGGTGGATTAACTTCATTATTCTGCAACACTTCTCAACATTCATATACATGTCAGTTTGTTAATAATTCATTATACACAAGCCACATTAATTGTATAGTCTTTATTACAACTTGCAGTAGGCAACAAGATCCTCAGACTCTTCCCCCTGTAACAAACAGTGAAGTTTGTTTAAAGGTTCCGTTAGCACACAGTCCTATTTGCACACTGCGCCATTTCCTGCAGCTTAATTTGTCTGTTTGCTGTCTTGCAAGTTAAAGTGCTTTTAGTGCTTAGAATGCTTTAAAAGCATCAGGCTCACATTGAGTGTTTGTCTTCATTACCATTTCACTGATCTCTTTTGCTCAATCGATATTCAGCCAGTGTTTCTGTCACAGGTTCAGATTTCACCACATTTTCGTGTCTACTTTTCGCTCAAGCGTGGACTAGAACGAAGCTTCCCATGCAAAGAGGAAGAGGAATGCGGAGCGTGAAATCCTTCAGGTGAGATCTTGGATTTCCCATTTATCATGTTAGTGGAGTTCAGTATAGCTGTAGGCTTCAGAATAGTTTTATTAGACTAACTACAGCATTTTCACTCTACAACAGACAACGTTGCCCATTTATCCTAAATATGTTGACCCCTGTTATGAAAAAAAGTTGTATCTATGATTATAATTTTCTAATTTACTTTGCACCCAGTTATGTGAATGTGAGAGTTCCTCCTAGTCATTGTAGTTGAGTTTACTCTCTGGGTACTCTGAAAAGGACTTTATGGCCATACTCCCTGTTCAAAGTACTAAATAAATGAAACTGAAATGAAACCTTAAAATGGCATTCAGGAATTCTCATTTGTTTGACTCTTTAGCCTAAGCATGACCAGTCATGATGGAGTGAGTCTGGGTATCTTCTGTCAGCTTTGGTCATTATCATTGTTTTCTGAAGACCTAAAGCAAGCTTTATGATCAATATCCCATTCATCAAATCCCAGCAGGTAGCTATAATGGATTTTAAGGAGATGCAAAGGGGTGGTTTGCAATAGCGTATTTCACTGACATGTCTTATATTCAGAATATAAGAATTGTATCGACAGTAGAAGCTGATGGAGCCGACTATGGTGAATCTCAGATCATTAACAGCAAAATAGCAATCTATATGAGCTTTTCCCATTTGACAAATTCTTACCTTTTGCGAACCACAATGTTCAAATATATTTTGCTTTTGTTACTGAAAGGTTGTAGACATCTATGCAAGCACCTGTCATATTGGTAAAGTTCTAGACCTGGCATTAACTAGTCCTTAAATTTGTAATTTTGTTACTTCAAATTTCTGAATGAACCATACCAAAGATCCATAGATACATAGCACCACAATATCTATCACAGCGTTTCATAGTATCTGCAGAGGTCCATGTAAAACTGGCTGCATATATAGCGGCCCTTAGCTGGATAATGATCTTCAGGTGTAGCAGAGACCTTTAATTGTTTGGTTGGCCAGAACTGCAAGAGGGTCTGGCGGCTGTGTTCCCCAAATTATCTATAAAACGGGGATCCTTCAAATGTTTTAATACCAGAGACAAATATGTTCTAGATGAGGTAGTGCAATAAATAGAACAAAGATCAGATGAGTCTCAAGCTGATCTGGTAATCATCAAATAAGATGGAGATGGAGGTTTTTAAACTATCATAAATGATGATAACTCACAGGCACACTGTGAAACACCACACAAGTGCGGGGGTGACCCAGAGGTGTGCTGACACCTTACATACAGTATGTCTTGTCTGCCTCGTATGTTATAAATGTAGCGGGGCAGGGGATGGGGGTATGTGAAGGTAAAAAAGCTCAGGCAAACACGGTACCCCACCGCAAGTAAAATATAAAATGATGTTTGCCGGCTGGTGTCAGCTGACAAGCCGAGGCCTTGCTAAGGGAGGTTTCTTTTGGTAAGACACCGACCTTCATGCTGCCGTATTAATGTGTGCTCACTAGCTAACAGCGAATGCAACACTTCACTGCTCTACAAGTTCCTGTGCAGCGAAAAGGGAATTATTTCACAAAACACAAAAGCAGAAATATTAAATCAAAGGCAATTAAAATGTGACACTCAGTTAAATGGTTTTCAGCATCTTTACTGACCCCCAATCCCCTCCCGATGACACGTAACTGAATGTGGGTTGATCACAGAGGTGGAAAGTTCAGTTCCAGAAATTAAAAATCCAGACCAAGATTTTGTTTCAACCAACCCGTTGAGTACTCTATGACTGTGACTCAACTGGTTTGTTGAAACAAAATCTTGGCCTGGATTTCTACTTTCTCTAACTTGAACTATCCACCTCTGGTTGACCATCAGAAACCCAAATATGAGAAACCGGTGCTCCCAGCTTTGCAGGATCAGCCAACATGAGGTCATGTAGGGACCAGGAGAAGCTGCAGTTCCTGTTGACTACGGCTCCCCTCCAAATATCTCAGCATTTCTTGGCTGGCACCATTCTGTCAAACTTTCTGCTGTTTTTTCCAGTTTGCTGTATTAGTTTGAATGGTCTCTTTGCCTCAATCACGTTCTCAGCTGATTTCTAGTAACAAAATAATCTATTAAAAAAGCCACAGAAGTTCCTCATCTTAACTTGAAAGTCACTATCATATTTAAAAAGAACCCCTAACGTTAAATCCCACACATCTCCCCATAGTTCTGCCAAAATCAATTTGCGTGACAGTGCTCCTTACAGACAAGTTTCCAGATGGTCAACCACAATTCATAATCCTGATATTAACAACAGAGCTAAAAAACTTCTATGAAATCACTTGCATGGCTAAAAGTGGTGTTACATTAAACTTCGAATCATAAATCCACTCCTAGCATGATTTACATAGCTTACAGTGTTACAGTCTGCCTATATCTACATTTTTATCAAAAAGGTTCCAGTATTTTAATGGCAATTTGAGCAGCAGCTGCTTGACCCTGAGCCCAGATGACTGGCTGCCAGGTCTGTCTGTTTCTAAGGGGTCCTATCATCTGGTCTGTGGAGCTCTGAACATCAGGGTCCCTTGAAAGGTACACTTCCTCATTCTTGTGATCTGCTTAGCTGGCTGACAGCCATTGGTCCCTCTGCCTTTCCGATGATGTCATATGGCTCTTTGGCTTGGGCCTTATCAGCAGAACGTCCCAGGCTATCTACCTTATCTCCTGATGATCTATGCCCCGTCTCCCAGCACCACATTATCCTCCTCTCCCTTTTGAGTATTCTGTGGCATCCAAAAATTATTTTTGTGCCCGAAACATCAATCCATTCTGCTCAACGTGCTCTATCATCTCTCTGGGTATTACGTCCTACCACCGTTCCCTCCATCGCTGTCTCTGGTTACTGGGAATAGGCCATCTATTATTAACTAGAAGACCTAACATTCAGTCTGCAAATCATCAAAGCACTAAGTACGGTTACTCATAGCTTGAGTCTAAACATCTTGAAGCAGTTCCTTTCCATATTCAGTCAACATGTTCATGGGTTTGTTCAACGAAAAACATACTTTATCCTATGCTAAGATCTGGAAATTTCTGGGCCTTACCTTAAAATGGATCATCTGAGAAATTCAGCATTGGAAGAGACTTACAGTTTATTCTGGTCTATTTTCAGTTCACCTAATTAAAGAATGGGATTAAGAACTGCAGTACTTGAGTGGTTATTCATAAAAAGGATTACCTACTTTATCTTTGACCTAGTTAATATGTTCCTGTTTCTCTTGCATACACCCTCGCTGTTTATCAGCTGAGTTTAGTCTATGTTGCCCAGTGTGTGGGCTTAAGTACCATACTGTGGCTCATGGGTCCCATCATTACGAACAGGAATCCAGACCAAAGTAGTCACACCCTGACCGTCTATATGCCTTAATCACAGTAATCCACGGCTAAAGTTCACATCCCCTGATGAAACTGAAGGCCTCCGACTTTGACATAACAGAGCGAAATGAACTTTGAAGGGAGGGAATCGCTGACGCAAATGAGCGGTCACCTTAGCCTCAGAGATGAACGTCCTTGCTTACAGTGCCATGATGAAGCTTTAATGTCTAGCAGACAGCCTTCCACAACAAAGATACTCCCGTAAGTGTGTAAATAAACAGGCCCGCTCGACTGCTTCCCTCTCTGGCTTTTGTTGGTGTCGCCAGACGCATTGCGAGGGGAAATGTAAGCAACATCCCCGTTTTCCTAAACAAAATCACCCTGCCCGTGACAGATGGCACACGTGAGCCTGGCCAGATGCACACCCCCACCCCCAACCCCAAGCTTAAAAAAAACCTGGGCTTCAGCAACCCATAATGGCACACTGCTTGCATCCTATATATTACCTAGGATTGTCATTATTAAATTTCACTGCTGCTTGTCCTGTTTCACACTGCTGTCTGTCCTGTATTGCTCAACTGTCTGTCCTGTATTACACTGCTGTCTGTCCTGTATTGCACTGCTGTCTGTCCTGTATTGCATTGCTGTCTGTCCTGTATTGAATTGCTCTGTTTACTATATTATATTGCTTTCTGTCCTGTATCGCACTGCTTTCTGTATTGTATCGCACTGCTGTTTGTTCTGTATTGCACTGCTGCTGTCCTGTACTGCACTGCTGTCTGTCCTATTGTCCTCCTGTGTTGTAGCAAAAGAATTACACTTGACACTTACATATAGGGATGAACATTCCCATTGAGTAGTAAAATGAACAAAGGGAACGTGTGTGAAACACGGATGGCAGCCAGCTTGGGATGCGTTTTGGTGAAAAGCCTGTAAAGTCTTCCAGATTAAACAAACAAAAGAAAGTCCCCTTTGGGCACACTTGAAGAATCAGGTTTTACAGTCGGCTGACGGCATAGAACAATCCCCCCCCTCCGCCCCCCAACTGCATCCAGGGGGTCTCTATGGCCCCAAGTAATCGGATGCAGTCCTCTGAGCATTTGGACCTCTCAGGAAGAGGGGCCTTGCTGGCTGAATAACACCACATCATTCTTCAGAAATGGAACTGTATTATTTGTGTGTGTGTGTGTGTGTGTGTGTGTGTGTGTTGGTTTATGCTGTGTTGAAATGATCTAAGCAAAGGTGGACACTAATTAAGTAACGGATTGGGAATTTTATGTCATTGAAAGTAGTAGATGCATCCAAAATTTTAGATAATTCATCAGGAATGCAAAAATGGATAAAATAAAAGGTATGATGCATATGGCTGGATACACCCTGGGTGGAATGTCAGTCCGTCACAGGAAGTATAGGGCATAAGGCTGTCAGTCCATCACCACCCACACATGCGTACACATACATACAGAAGGATAATGGATACAAGCATGTAAATTGGGTTGTTAATGTTCCGCCAATAATCTAATTACACTATTGATAATTCCATTGTAAACAAAGGTGACATTATAACACAGGACGACTGATGTTATCATGATGCGACATTATGACTCTCTGGCGTATTGCTACATAAAAAAATAACAAGATGGACAATATCTGCCAGCCTAGGAGCAGGAGCATCTGCAGAGAAGCCTTGGGTTATGATTTAGATCAGCAGAATCCCCCCATATCCATAGAGTTCTGTCAAATTCCATGTGTTGCATTAGACATGAGCCAGCCAACACTGACGGTTCTGTGTTCTGTGCTGGGTTCTGGAGCCAAGCCTGGGTTTCCTCCAGGGTAAATATCTGAAGGAACGCTGAGGCCAAATCTTACACAGCCCTCAGCAAATCGCGCATGCTTTGCTGTGTAGTTCTGACTATAATGCTGCATAGCCCACGATTGTTACAGTGTCTCCCTGCATTTGACTGGAGCTTAAACAGTGCAAGAAAATGACAAGTGATTCACTGAAACATGTGTCGCAGTTGGAGAATAAATGATGAAAACCCGTAGAAGACAGCTTTCGGGTCCATTTGTCAGCATTAATCAGCTCCAAATGTGGAGGAAGTAATCGTGATGTTTTATGTGGTCTGTCATGTTGTTGTTTTTTTTTTTTTTTAATCAGAGGCACAATGAGAAACACATGTGTGACCCGCACAATTAATTCTGCTTGAACAAGGGATTTCTGGGATTTCCAAAGCATAGTTAAAATAAAGTGTATAATCAACGTTTCAGTTGGCTAAGGAGCTGACGTGTGTGTTTTGACCTGCGGGACGTGACACGCTGGGTGAGTGGAATGCGGTTTGCATCATTTGCGTGCAGGTCCTGATGCTCATGATCCTGCTCACGGTCACTCTGCGATCGCCCTGCCCCTGAACGCTAGCGGCTGGAGGTCCTTCTTCTGATGTTGCTGCTGACAATGTTTCAGGATCTGTGTGTGTAACTGTCATAACATTAGCAGGGAATGATCAGAGGAGCAGAGCAGCATTAAGCTTCAAATGTTTGATGGTCCTGGGATCTTTGTAGGGAACTTCATCAATTTAAAACCCTTTTCTCAAAACCTGTTCGCTTATAAAGAGCATGAAATGAACCGAGAGCCTTGCTCACAGGTGGAGCTGTCCTTAAGGATGGGAAATCATTCTGTATTTATGGTGAAAATCCATCCATTTTCTGTACCTGCTTGTCCTATTCAGTGCAGAAGGATGGAAAGACCCAAGATGGGGCACCGATCCATCACCAGGCACACTCATATAATCACCTCAGCTTGTTTTTGGACTGGGGGAGGGGGTACCCAGAGGATATCCCACAACAACACAGGGAGAACATGCAAACTGCACACACATGGAGCCATGAACCCTGATCCTAGAGATGTGGGGCAACAGTGCTAACCACTGCACCACTGCACCACCACGCCACCCCCATCCATAAAAATCCAAGCCTCAGAATTCTAATACATTTCAGTGATTTTGTGACTGCACCCCACCATGAGCTATGGGAGTCTGTGTGAAATTTCAAGGTGCCAAAATGTTTGATTTTGGCGGATCACGCCTGATAAGCCGCTCGATCCGGAGGCTCGGGTTTAATTGTGCTGGTTCAGCATATTTGGGGGCCGTGTGCGATAACGCTGTGCCGGCTGTGTTTTATTTCCTGCTCCAGCCGCCTGATCCGGTCCTGAGACACCGATCGACCCCAGAGGGAATGTGAACACAGGATATGACCCCTTTGTGCCCCCGAATCAGGTCTGGAGTTTAGTGTTGCTCAGACGGGGTCAGTGGGTCCCCTGGCGTAGGGGGGGGGTCAACGTGACCCCACCATCACTCGCCTCCACCAGCCGCTAATGGCCGAAGCGCCAAGAAAGCCAGGTGGATGACTGTTTGTGTTTCTTTATGACTATGTCAAATATTATCGTAGGCCACTCTCTATGGCGCGCGTCTCTTTCGGCTCGGTTTAGAAGCGCAGCCCGCAAACACAGCTGCAAAGCGCCTTAGAAAGAAGGAAAGCAAAAGTGTCTGAAAGATGATGAAGGCCTCACAGATAATTTGGAGCATGTCGTCATAAACAGTAGGCATTTTCCGTGATGCTTAAAACAAGTGTGAACAAGCAGGCCACTCATGTCAGAACAAGTCAGAACATCTAAAAATGACACTGTAAAGAAGGCAAAATCATTCCATATGTAAGCAGACATCATTTCCCTGAACCGATTCCAATGTACATATAGATTTTCTTTGAAGGGATCATGCCTGTATGGGATTAGGTCCTCAGTTTTTATATGCAGACATACATACATGCATACATACTGTAGAATAACACAGACTTCTTGTTGTATTTAGAGTGCATTGTACTTTTGTGACATTTACTAAAACTGAAAACCAAATGGTCTTTGGTCTCACCTCCCTTTCTCTGGTCCTCCTGTAGATCTGGAGAAAGATGTTGGCCTGTGATGCTGTCCCCCCAGGAAGCTGAGAGGTCTTCAGAAATCCTGCCTAAAACTCACTGGGTGGTAATAATGCCAGCCCAGCATGGAAAGCCGTTACACAATGGACAAGCGCTGCTTTGAAAATGATGAAGTCGTCATAACCATCATTTAAAGTTACAGGGAATGGCAGTAAAAAATAACCTATGTTTTCGTTTTGATGTTTTTGACTTAAGAATTCCAATTTCAAATTAGATTTCATTTTGGTTCCAGTTTAAGTGTAATTTCTTAATATGGCATGAACCGAGGCATTGAAAGAAAGGAAACGGAACCCATCAGCAGTAACCCGGGTATCGAGAGGGTGGGTTTCCATACCGCCAAACGCTGTGGGAGTTCACCCATCAGCAGTAACCCGGGTATCGAGAGGGTGGAGGTGCTTTCCATACCGCCAAACGCTGTGGGAGTTCACCACTAGATCGACTGGCAGATCTGCTGGGGCCCATCGATTTGATATAATTGTAAAGATACGTGTTTATCCTTACAGTGTCCCTAGAGGGAAACTCAAGGTCTCTTCCACATCTGGGGAGCAACAGAACAGCAGCCGTAGTTGGTACCAGTCACATACTCAAAGCCGAATTAGTTATACATTGATTTCCACAGTACACCGTTTCATATATACAAGCATATATGAAAAGGAGCCAGGTACCTATGCATGATATTTTATCTTATGGACAGCACACCTTGCCGGCACCATTTTGTGGAACATTTATTTATCAGATGTTTTATCTAAAGTGACATGGAGAAAGCAGGGTGAGCCAGTTCCTTGAGCAATGGGGGATTAAAGGCCTTGTTCAGGGGCCCGACTATGACATCACCCTGCTCACCCTAGGATTTGAACAGGCTGCCTTTGGTTAGGACAGCAGGAGGATTTACCCACTATACACACAAGCTCACTCTGAAAGACTCTGAAAGGTCTGCACAGCACGTACACTCAGAGAGCTCACTCTGACTCTAAAACATCTACACAGCATGTACACTGAGAGAGCTCACACTGACTCAGAAACGTCTGCACAGCATGTACACTGAGAGAGCTCACATTGACTCAGGAACGTCTGCACAGCACGTACACTGAGAGAGCTCACATTGACTCAGGAACGTCTGCACAGCACGTACACTGAGAGAGCTCACATTGACTCAGGAACGTCTGCACAGCACGT